TAATCAAACCTCGACAAAACCTGGCAAACCCAAAAGAGAAAGAAAAGAATGAAAGAATCCGACGTCTACAAGGAGACTCTTTTGGCCATATGTTTCCAAACATACAATTAAAGAGGGAATTAAGCAGGTAACAGAGCAGCAACAACAAAAATATTCATCAGATCAAATCATGTGTTGGCTTTTCTCAAAATGGCCAGTCTTGTCTCTCAGTGTGGAAATAACTGTCTTGGTGTTGGAGGAGAAAAAAAACAAACAAAAAAAAAAAACTGTGGAGGACACACAGGGATGGATGGATGGATGGAGGGAACTACACCACTCGTCGCACTTCAAAAAATCTCTTCAAGTAGTAAATCTGTCCGAGTGTCATGGCCACCAGAAACGAGGGCTTCGAAGAAGGACCACAGACCACTCTGCTGTTGTTTGTGTTGTCGTTAACTAGAAGGACAAAAACAAACAACAAACAAAAAACACAGCAGACAGGATGTGAGGATAAATTTTACTCCGCTTTATCAGAACAAACGGTTGCTGGGTTGCGTCCTTACCCGCTCTGTGTATCCTCTCACGGACCTCCATGTACTCCTGCTCGTGCTTCACCGCCGTCATAGCGACGGCGAGCTCGTTGATCATCTCCTCCAGCTTTTTTGATGAGCTGAAACGAGCAGCGAGCGAGCCGTTAAACCCAGAAGGACGACGCGTGCAGAGGACGTGCGTCAGGCTTCTACGCTGTACATGCAAAAAAACCGTCTTGCATCCGAGACACGATTCCTTTACAACTACAGTTCTGTGGAGGAGTATTTGCTCTGCTTATGGATTTCATCTGACTCGCATTTAAATGATTGCTGTCAAACTTTAAAATATATATATAAAAAGTCACACTTGGATAACCTGAAGAAAATGGACAGACAGGTGAAAGTGGAACTTTTTTTGGGGAAAGTTGCCCCACTTTTCAGAAAAGTGAACCATACAAACAGTGAAGCATGGTAGTGGTAGTATGATGGTCTGGAGCTGCTTTGCCGTTTTAAGACATGAATGATGTGCTGAAACCATAATTTTTCTTTCTTCTCTCTAAATGAAAAATCTTGAAATAATCAAGTGTTTGGATGTTTATGCAGCAGGTTCACCCAAACAAATGGAAGGTTGCTGAGCAGTTGGGTCACTGTGTGCGCTTAAAGTGATGAGATGCTGCAAAGTAACCTTAAACTGACACTGCATGTTCATCGGTTCATTTCTGTCTGATGCTCTTCAGTAACCAAGAAAGACGAGCTAAACCTGCTGAAATCCATAAAAGAAGCAGATACTTTTTCATAGCACACCATTTCTCTGATACTCAGTGCAAACAGTTAAAAAAAACAAACATTAAGGCCGCATCTGTTGCAAACAACATCTAATATTAGTTTATAATATCAAAACAAGACTGGTTAGAGAAAACTCCACAGTGCATCCCAAATTTAATATGACAGTTTTCACTTATTCTGCCTTTCTTTTTTCCTACCATCCCAGCTGTCACCACCTATAAAGGAGGGAAATTTACCCAAGTAAAGTCAAAAAGAAATTCAAACGAGAAAATCTTTAAAATAGAAACAGCATCACATAAACGGGCCGTGTACTCAGACGTGGCCGATCTGAGTACCTTCCGTCTCCATGTCCTGGCCTTTCGGCGCCTCTCCGATGTCGATGGTGAACATGACGATCTTGGGCGTCATGGTGGACATCTTGTTGCTGAAGCAGAACCTGTAGGTTCCGTCCATGTGTGCAGCCACGGAGTATTTCCCACTCGACTCTCTGTCTCCTTGTAAATCTGTTTACCAATCAGCCCATATCTGAAGAGAGAACAATATCTGGGTAAGAAATATGAAAGGGTGCAGTTTCACCCAGAAAACTTGCTAAGGCTGGTGGTAGGAGGCGCTGCTGTGTTTGAGTTAAACAAACAACTCAAATTGTGTAAAATAAAAACTCCTGACCTCTGGCTCCCTATATATGCGCATACTGGCATAGGATGTTGCCATTGTGCTTCCAACAGTTTCACTAACGAGAGGCTTGTTAACCCGTCTTTGTTTGCCATCACAGTTACTGGTGTACAAACAAATGAATAAAAACAATGCAGCCTGGTGGGGGGAGTAAAGCCTGGAGGCCCGTCAGGCTTATGAAGCTCTGTATGGGGCAGATATGTGGTAAATTCTTTTTTGACAATTTTTTTGCCATAGTATATCCACAAAAGCACAACAACACTCAAATAAAGGCCCACTCGCCTAGAATCTCAAAAGAAATTTTCAGTAATGTTCAATTTTTATGGAAGGTTTAAAAAAAATGACAGGGAAAAAGTGAAGTAGTGAAAAGTTGACCCATGTAACACCACTATCCATCGCTGCTACGTCTTTTTCTTCTCTATGAGGAGAGAGATGTACTTGTGATCTTTAACCCGCAGCCTGTGGTCTCTCACTCTTGCGATAATACAGCGACTGTCTATATTTTTCCTAATCTGCGCTTCCATCGACCTGTGAAATTAAGCATTTTGTGCAACGTCATCTCTATCTGATTAGAGCGTCTCCTGCCAATAGACCGTCCAACTGGTGAAGCAACACTACTACTCCAAACAGTCAATTGCGATATGAATATTGCACTCCGGTATCATGCAGTATTAGGATTAGTACAACAGGGTTACCCTTACAGAATATTTTACTAGCAATTCATTCCAAGTTAAATATAGACCAATCAGCATAGATGCGACTCTGGTCAATAAATTACGACGAATGGAAATGGGTAAAATTGATCACTTTATCAGTGGGAGGAACTCAAATCATAATATGCCATCATATTGATCCTCTACTCAACTCAAATGAGTCAAATCTCACTTTGAAGCTTCTACAATACAAGAGCACATCCTAAGAGTATAAATCAGTGATGCACATATCGCAATACACAGGTGTTATCAACAATAATACGTCTCATAGAAAGTTTAATGTTCAATTCATAGATTATTCACGAAACACCAATCCAGAACCGCACAGCATTCTGGGGATGAAGGCAGAGTAAAGTCTTCAGCCGCTCAACCTCTCAGCTGACTCGCTCTTTCATTACCTAGCAACAACCTGTTTTGGTGTCTGGAAAATGAGCCGTTCCAAAAACCTTCAGCTAACCAAGTCACAATCTGAGGATGCTGCGATGTTGCCTGGCTTCCATTGGCTTAAAGTCTGTTAAAAATATATATTAATCACCATTTGCTAACCATGAATTTAAAAAAACATTAGTAGACAGTATTTTTTTTAACTGCAGATGCAACCTTTGCTACAAATGATGCTTTTATGCTACATATTGCAATTTTTTTTAAAACTGACTTAAACTGAATTATGTTTTTTGTGTGTATTTTGTTGTATTTCTAATGTGTAAAAACAGGCTTAAATACAAAAAAATCTGCAAAATGCCGATGTTTTTTTTTTTGTCCGATTAATCAATTGTCAAAAATCATAGTTGGCTGCAGCTTTAATCAGGACGTGTATGTGTTTGGCTCAGTCTGAATGTCTGTCCTTCCGTCCAGGTGAAACCATCTTGGGTCTGAGGGAGAGCCTGACGTGGGCCACATCCTGCCTGAAGGGAGGACTCCTCTGTGGCCGTGTCCTCCGGGGGAGAGCTGTTCCTGCGCTTCATAAGCCTCACATCCCTGGAGCATCAGGTGACGCGTGTTTCACGTTGTAGCGTTTGTGACGGCTGACAGCGTGAAGCAGGTTTTCACGTCGCTGCGGAGTCATTTCGAGCCACGTTTTTGAGCATGCCCAAAATTCAGACTTTGATTAGGCCACTTCAAAACCTTTACGTTAGTTGTAATATTTGCCAGTCGCCATTTTCTTCCAAATTGTTTTGGTGTGATTTTAAAAGGCCAATAATTCCTCGTATGGGTCACCACTGATCCATGTTTTTCCAAAATAAAAACTCTTGACCCAGATCAGTGTCTGCGCTTCATAACAGGCGTTTCTGTCTCCAGGACTTGTCTCGCTGTAAGAAGGTGATGGAGGAAAGAGGAGAACTGTTTCTAGAGAAGATCTCCATGTCCAGTGTTGACATAGAATTTTAAGTTAGCACAATACTGCACAGGATAGCTTTGACACATATAAAATATAACATAGAAAGTTAAAGTACACTAGGTTCATATAAATTTAGATGAAACTAAAAACAACGACTCAATCTCTGAAACGCAGATAAATTCTTAAAAGGAGGATCAGACAGAAAAAACAGAGAACACAGGCCTAGACTCCTTGGATCTCTTGAGATAAGGAGCCTGTATGCCAGGCAATTAACAAATTCCTGAGCATGGTTCAAAAGTTCACTAGGATCTTAAAACTTTTATAAATAATTTTATCTATATTAGAATTAACTATATTTCTTTAAGAATGTTTTTAATTAGTTACTTATTAGATCCAAACTTATAGTCATTATTTAGCATTACATTGTGTGCAAGCTTGGTTAAAAATACAAACTACTTTCTTGTGAAAACAGTTTGAGGCAGAGATAGCGCAGCTGCAATCATATATCAAACTGGACAGCGTCTGATACGAGAAGGGTTTGCCGTATATCTGCTTTTGGGGCTCTTTAGCAGGAGGTAATAAAATTAACATTGAGACAGCCCACACAAAGGAAAAGAACACACCTCCTAATGCATATATTTAAATGATGAGATTACGCATTCTATAAAATGATTTGGTTTACAGCAGAAGTTGGAATCTCTTTGTGCTGGGTGAGAGTTTCCCGGAGGATGCATCTTCTGTCTTTTTTACTCAGTTCTTTTGTCTCTGTTCTGTAATATCTTGGACTTTTGATGTTCTAGGTGAGATGATTATTGTAACATTCTTCTTGCATTGATTTTCTCTGGATAAAACTCTGAATATCTGAAGTCTGACGTCGTACGATTGCTCTTTTCTCTCTGCACACTTACACAGACACAGGAATTCGGGACTAAGAATTAATTAACGAGCTAAGATCAAGTTATTCATCTTTTTAATTCTTAACCCAGGAACAAAGTCGCTAAGCTCTGTCACACCTTCATCAAAGACGGAGCTGTAAGTACTGGTCCCGTCTCCTCTCCTCCTTGCTCTTTGCGCTCGCTTCACCTCGTGCCTTTCTTTCCCCTGCCAATCCTCTCAGAAAATCCTGACTCACTCGTACTCCAGAGTGGTCCTGCGGGTTCTGGAGAAAGCTGCAGCGGAGAAGAAGCGCTTCTCCGTCTATGTGACCGAATCGCAGCCTGACGCCACAGGGTGAGCGAGTGAGCGAGGACGAGTTTCTTTCTCACAGGACACGAATGATTCTGCGTTTTTTCTCCTTTTGTTGAAGGCGGCAGATGGCAGAGGCCCTGAAGAAACTCAACGTTCCAGTAACAGTAGTGCTGGATGCAGCTGTAGGTAAGCTACTCTGGGGTTCTGAGCTGGAGGGGGAACCGCAAATGGTTTATTTAATCATTCTTTCGTCACTGGTTGGATTTTGTTATTGGAAATATCCAACTGGAAAATACATGTCTAAGATAAAATAAACTCCATCAGTTCCACTATGAAAACAAAGAGAAAATAAAGCTATTATTAAAAAAAAAATTAAAAAAATGTTGCTGGTCAATCGATACAATTGTTAAAAAAGAGTCAGGTTAATTTTTTTTAGATATCATTTTAATATCATGTTTAATAAATTTCTCAGTTATTTGTTCATCAGCCTGAGCAGGAGAAAACAAACTTACTGATGTAAAAATGTTGCTTTCTTAGTGACATTTAAAGCCTCCAGCAACTCTGATATACTCTACTAACTGGAGTTTAGCTTTTGTACAACAGTATTACATGTCTTTTATTTTTGTCTGGGTTTTTTTGTTTTATTTTGGTCACAAAAGTCGCTAAATGCAGCAGCAAATTTGCTAAGTTGGTGACAGTGCGGTGCCGTCAGTCAGGACAGTGGCCGAGTTTCAGACGTTTGCAGAGATAAAATCGGTTTCTCAAGTAACTATCGGCCCTTCGCCCAAAAAGAAGAAAATCTGACCTGATTTATTGATGCATCACTAGATAGTAAATTTTGTTTTGGTATTTAAAATAACCGATCGGATGGTTCAGAAAGAGAACAAGCAAAAGTTGAGGAAAAATGCTTTATTTACTTTCACACCGTTTTAATGAACCTGTTTTTAGAAGCTGCTTAGTTTCAGTTTTCCGTCTTCCAGGTACGTGTTGGAGAAGGTGGACCTGGTCATCGTTGGAGCAGAGGGAGTCGTTGAGAGCGGAGGGATCATCAACAAGGTGCGTTCCCTTGGCGGCCCCGGGTGAAACTCAAACTGGAGGATAGTTGAACACGCGTATCAGATCGGGTCTGTGTAAACACGGGGCGGGTGTACGTTTCCAACAGAATCTAGAGTGTGTGTGTGTGTTTTTCCCCAGATTGGCACCTATCAGATGGCTCTGTGCTCCAAGGCTCACAACAAGCCCTTCTACGTCGTTGCAGAAAGTTTTAAATTTGTTCGTCTGTATCCGCTGAACCAACAGGACGTGCCCGATAAGTTTAAGGTGCGGCTTCCTTATTTTGTTTGTTTTTTTAAACGATTTTCCGTCCTTTTATCCAGATTTATTGACTCGTGCTTCCTGTCCCGCACAGTACAAAGCCGACACCCTGAAGAGCATCCGGAACCTGTCGGAGGAGCACCCGGTCATCGACTACACGCCCCCCTCCCTCATCACCCTGCTCTTCACAGACCTGGGGGTCCTCACCCCGTCGGCCGTCAGCGACGAACTCATCAAACTGTATTTATAACCGCGTCCCTTCGCTGAACAATAAAACAGACGTTTATGGTCCGCCTGCTTCCTGCTTGGAGTTCGTGAGCTGTTGCTCGAAGTCTTCCTCGCTGATCTGGCCTTTTTTTAGTTTCTTAAGGAGGCGAGTGTCTTCTAAAAGCTCCTTCATGTATTCTTCGTCCATGTCGGAGTCCTGCAGAGGCAGAACAGAAGCCATGAGAACGAAACTGCAGTACTTAACGTTTATGAAGAGTATATTTTTTACAGATTTGCTGAAACTGTCACTATGAGGTGAGATCGATCTAGTCCACTTCCTCCCTGAGCTGTTATGGCCGTCTGAAGAAATGAAACGTTCCTGGTCAAAAACAAACAATCGCAGCCAGGAGGAGGGTCCTAGCGCTGCCAATCAATGTCGTGAACGCACTGCTAAATGTGCTAATGGTGGAGAAACACCTTACTGTTAAAGGAAAACTTTATCGAGTGGCCATGCTAACTAGCCTTAGCATTCATGACAGACTATGGTAGCTGAAGATTAGTAGTTTCAACAGATATGTAAAAGAAATATGTCTATATAAATATATATATTAATAAAAGTTGCACACTGCAGCTTTAATGTTTCATTTATCCCCTACACAGAGTTTACCTCGTCGTGTTTCCTTTTGGCGCCGCGTTTTTTCTTGCGCTCCTTCTTGGTCTTCTGCTTGGACCAGGCCTTGTTCTTGACGAAGTTCTTCTTGGGAAGCTCCGTCTTCTCTTTGTTTTTCTGCTCGGCCAGCATCTTCTGCCTCTGCTTCTGTCGGTTTTTGTCCTTGTAGCGGATGCTGTCCGTGTCCACCGTCGTCTCCACGAAGTCGGGAAACGTTTTCCCCTTCAGCTCGGGCATCTTCGGCAGGCGGAGCAGCGCGAAGCCTTTGGCCAGGGACACAAAATCCAGATCTAACAGAAAAAGAAAAAAAACACGAGAAGGTTTCATTTTCTTTGTTTTGTTTGGGGATAATAAAAAAAAATATACATTTGGCTTTGAGGATTTGTCACCTTTTACTCTGAAGATGAGGCTGCATTCGTGTTTGGCGTAAGCCTGGACGTACGACACAAAGGCCCTCATGCCTTTGTCGAACATGGCGCGGTCGGCCAGGGCCATGGCCTTCACCTTGGGCGTCACGTCCACCACGTCCTTTATAGGAGACATCTTCTGCAGCGGGCACTGGTCAGGTCACAAGCAACACTGTTAACCAATCACTTTGCACCGATTATCAACCGGTTCTGGTTTCTTTGAGTGAACTTTAACATCACGAAATACAACAGAAATAAAACATTTTTGCAATTGCAATTTTAAATAGACATTTGTGTATACAAAATAGAACAGGTTGAATTTGGTAATTTATTGCAAGAGATTGCAAAAAATAAATACAGAAAATTTCCCATGTCCTCAAAGGGTAGCAGATCACCATTAGCAAGAGAAAAATAGGGAAAAAAACTGCTTTACTCTCACTCAGGATTTGATTTCTGAGGATTTCATATCACAGTAGCTCTGATCCTCCTCTGAGTGACTTCATGCTGAGTAATGTTAGAGCTGAATAATCTGAGTGAGTTCTAGACAACTATTGTGAACCATCCATCATCAGATTATCAGATTATGAACGCCTGCATGGCCGATCCAAAAGGTCTTGTTGCTGACGGCTATGAACACCGCTGAAGGACCCAACTTCAGACTCACCTTCTGGTTGATGGACAAGAAGTTGACATAGGGTTCCTCCATTGGCAGCAGGAAGACGAGGGCGTTGCCATGGTTACCGATACGCACCGTTCTCCCGCATCGATGCACAAAAAAAATGGAAAAAAAAAGAGCAGACAGGGAAAAATGGTTGGAGCCAAGTAGTTAGAAAAGTAACATTGTTTTAATGTTTAAGCCAATAAAATAATTCATTCTGCAACATATCTATCTATCTATCTATCTATCTATCTATCTATCTATCTATCTATCTATCTATCTATCTATCTATCTATCTATCTATCTATCTATCTATCTATCTATCTATCTATCTATCTATCTATCTATCTATCTATCTATCTATCTATCTATCTATCTATCTATCTATCTATCTATCTATCTATCTATCTATCTATCTATCTATCTATCTATCTATCGATCGATCGATCGATCGATCGATCGTGGCGCAGTGGGTAGCGCTGTTTCCTTGCAGCAAGACGGTCCTGTGTTCGATTCCCGGCCCGGGGTCTTTCTGCAGGGAGTTTGCATGTTCTCCCTGTGCATGCTGGGTTCTCTCCTGGTTCTCCGGCTTCCTCCCACAGTCCAAAAACATGACTGTCAGGTTAATTGTTCTTTCCAAATTCTCCTTAGGTGTCAGTGTGTGTGTGCATGGTTGTTTGTCCTGTTTGTTTGTGTTGCCCTGCGACAGACTGGCGACCTGTCCAGGGTGGACCCCACCTCTTGCCCGGGACGCAGCGGAAGATAGGCGCCAGCACCTCCCGACCCCGATAGGGAGAAGGGTGCTCAGAAAATGGATGGATCGATGGATGGATGTTCTGTGTTTGTATGTGCTTACATTAGTTTTTTCTGTCTTAGTCTCTCGTTGTTACGGAGCCCCCTAGGGGACATGGGGATTTTTTTTTCTTTTGCGTCCCCTCGCAAAACTTTTGTGTTCCCTCTCAAAATGAAAAAGTTTGAGGCAGCGTTCCGGAACAAGACGAAGATGACAGTGGAGCAGACAGTACACTCGTGTGTGAGTTTTGTGAATTTTTATTTTGAAATTGGCCTGCAATATAAGAATATTCAGTCTCTGCTTGCCAAAAAGCATGGGTGTCACAAAGTATGCGACATTTGAAAAGAATACTTAGTGCACGAGGACACATTCGTCGCTACTATTTTGCTAACTTGGCAAGTCTGGTGGAATTCGTCAGGAGAGAACTTCAGTCCTCTGGACAGCTTCACGAATATCGTTGGATGTATGCCAAATGCAGGCAACATGGACTTTGTGTAAGGAAGGAGGATGTCCGTCTGATCATGAGAGAATTAGATCCAGCAGGAGTGTCCTCAAAACAAGCCAGACGTCTTCAAAGAAGAAACTACTTCTCAAAGGGTCCGAACTTTATTTGGCACATTGACTCTTATGATAAACTGAAGCCATTTGGCTTTTGTATTAACGGAAGCATCGGTGGATTTTCACGAAAGATTATCTGGCTCAATGCATACACCACAAATAGTGATCCCAAGTTGGTAGGAGGGTATTACACTGAAGCAGTAAAGCGTTTGGGAGGGTGACCGAGAGTTGTTAGAGGGGATCTTGGTACAGAAAATGTTTATGTCAGAGACTTCCAGAGATTCCTCATTCCCACTCAGCCCAACGACCCTCTTGAAAGTTACCTCGAAGAAGCAAGCACTGCAAATCAAAGGATTGAATATTGGTGGCGCTTTCTGCGCGTGGAGTGTATGGAGTTCTGGTTGTCCTTGTTTGCTGACATCAGAAACAATGGATTCTTTGATGGGGGATTTCTGGACAAAAGCATTCTACAGTTTTGCTGCATGGGACTCATACAGGTGAGTTAACTGAATCAAATGTAATATTTATATGATGGATGAGATACTTTGGAAGGAAGAAAGCCTGAAAGGCATGGACATTAAAATCAACATTAATGGTATCTGGTTATTTGTGGCGTTCACTGTCTAGTATTTGTTCGTACAATACTTGAATGTCAAGCGAACGCTCAATTTTGTGACGTAGGTGCATACTTTCATCACACTGAAAATTGGAAATAACGCACGACGGTGGCACACCCATAAACGAAAGTGATATGTTTCTACAAAGAGAAGTAGATGTTTGTGTTTATATGTGGTAAATTATAATATCATGAAACAAAGCGATTCTCCAGTTGTTCTTTCGTGGTCGCTGTTCACACATCTGTGGTGCTGAAAATGCACTGGTTACTTTTTCTACCTTAATGTCATAACACGAAAGAGCAGGTTACTTGCTGTTATAGTGTGAGATTTTACACTACAGCAGCAACAAGGGATCATTTTGACAGCTGCAATCTTTAAAATCAATTCATCTAAGAAATGTCACAATGTATTTCTATAACTCGGTAACAACTGTAATTGTATGAATGACAGTTCTAAACAGCAAGTCTGAAAGTACTTTATAGGAGCTGTTTCTCTTTTCTTAGTTAAATCTTATTTAGATTTAGTTAATTTTTATTTCTTCCTTATTTTCTAGTTGATTTATAATTAAAATTTTTGTTCAGTTTATTTAAAATAAGTTTGCTGGTTCACTTAAGTTAATTAATTAAATTTTGGGACGTGGGTGTTACACAGTACAGATTTGAACTAGCACATTATGCATGTGGGTGGTCAAAAGGTTTTTTTCCAGTCTATTCAGTTAGTCATCAGTCAGTCTATCCAATCGGTCAGCCAGTTCATAAAAACAACAGGTGTAGGAATCAGACTGAAAGAAGTAGTGGAATCCTGTGAGGCCTGTTACTTGTTTTGTCTGAATAGTGGAATAAAACAAAGAACTGCATTTTGACCTTTTGTAGAATCCATGATGCACCATTTGCACTATTTGAGTTGAATTCACCTTTTAGTCTTACGTTTTGTTACTTTTGAATTTGAGTTTTGGACAAATAGTCAGTACAACCTAAATAAACATTATTTTGTAATTATGACATAAAACAGTGACTATGCCTAATCCTTTTTTATAGCTGAGGTTAACAAAAATGTACTCAATTTTCTGTTTTATGTTACAGGATGAGCTGGATGACACAGCACAACTATGGAATACACACCACATCAGGCCATCTAAAAACTTGCACGTTCCCAGCGGTCGGCCCAATGTGATGTATGCCCTACCTGAACTGTACAGAACTACAGACTTCCTCACTCCTTTTGAAGTAGAACAGATTCAACTGTGTAGAGATGCATGCACTTTTCGGCAGACCATACCATGTGATTCTGCTGTGTATGACATTTGCAATGTTTTAATGGCAGAATATGGTCTAATGACACCATCAGATCCATATGATTCTGTGAAACTGTACATGTTACTGAGAGATGCCATTAGAGGATTACTGTGAGTATTGACTGGAAAGAGCCTGCCATGTTAGGGTTCCACATGTCTCAAAACGGAGCTGCTTGTTTTCGATTATGAGACATTAACATGCATTCTAACTGTTAAACTTGATAAATAATCTGACTCTTTTTTTCCCTTTCTAAAGTATTAAAATAGAAGCAGAAAACTAAATGTCCCTCTTACAACATTAATCCATCTAAGTGCTGATTTATTTTGCTAAGTGCAAAAGTCAACATGCACAACACACAGCTGTGGATAAATGTTTACACAAATTGCATATTTGTGTTAACATTTATTGTGAACATTCACAGGAAATCCAAACATGTATCAAAAATAAAAACTTTGCAAGACAATTACTTCATGTTTAAGTTTACCTAAAAACATTTTGGCACCACCAAAACAATAAACAGGTCACCAGAAAACCAAGGTTGGCGGATGTTACAAACACTCTGAATTTTGTTGTATTTTAAGTATTGTTGTGTTTACTTCATTTCATTATCCAACCATCAAAATAAACTTTCTGTTGAATTTCTAAACATACTTTGATAAAGATGAAAATACATCAATTTCACTGCTGGAATACTATCAGGAACTATTAGATAAAATGGCCAAAATTACAAGAACTGTGAATTCTTATCCCTTTAATTCCTAAAAACACTCTTTCACATTTAGAAAATTCTACAAGAAACAATGTTTTTAAACCAGCGTTATGTTATGTTCTCAACATTGTGCATATCAACAAATGAAAGGGTAAAGAATGAATGTATTTTGATCAATTAGTCAAACTCCAAATTTGGTTCTATTACAAGTTTTTTCCTGCAAACACATGTGCTATTAAAATATCTTGATGAAATTTCAGCTGCGTGACAGAACTTTATTAAAACAAATATGAAAACTAACTACTGGTCTAATTGCAACTGGCGGTTATTAAATTCTGGAAACTATACAAAATTGGAAATTGTTTACCCTTTGGGTTTTCAAGCAAAAACACAAACCTTTCAACATTGCACAGCTTTTAAGCATTGAAAATGGAAACCCACAATTTAACAATCATGAACATTGTGCATAATGCAGAATAATATAGGATTTAATTGAGCATAAATGTCAACTACCTTTTCAAGCTTAAATAATATCCATCAACATGAAGTTGCTTACCAAGATACTGTCAAACTCTGCTCTAAATTCTGGGTAGGAACTGTAAGTGTAAGGCACATCAATGATTGCTGCACATGTGTGTGCAACAGGTCTTCTCCCAAAACCTGTTTCAGCATTGAATGTAACCTTTTTTTTCTGTGCATAAAACGGAGGACCCTGTGCAAAATCGCAAGAATTTTTCTAGTTTGCGCTGATCTGCATTCCTAATGTACCTCTGCAAGTAAGTAAATGTTGTCTGCTCTTCCTGTGATAAAGCCTCTGTTTGCAGCATGTCAACTGCAAACATTCGTTTGTTGCTTTTTTGGACTCATAAATGAAGGACACCAGCTGGATGACACAGATTTAATGCAATGCCTTTGAAAATGTCAGTAAAGCAATCAACGATATACTTTGGTTCTTGTAATATGACTTTATGAGCCATGATCTGTATTGCTTGCTTGATATTTTCCTGAGATGGAATGCAGTGAGCCCCCATCTGTGAAAACAGATCCAACAAATTTCCCTCATCCTCTTCCAATACTCCACTGAGGGCCTTTTCTGTGGTACTTCTCTCGCTCTCTGACAAATAC